TGATTTACAGATCCAGATCTCGAAGAAGAAGAAGTGGCATGGATTGTAGCTTAAACTGAAGCTACATAACCTACGGAGAATTGCGATGTGACATCAGTCATAATTGCTCTAAAAGCAATGAATTCTTAACGCCCAGCTTGTTTTTCTAAGGGTGATGTGAGTCTTTGTACTGGAGCGCGTAATTCCTCTCTTGGTGATAACTTTTGAATTAGCTTCATTTAACAGTCTTGCGACTGCACATGTGCAAGCAGAGTGTATGTCATGTAAGCACAACTAAATATTTGTGATCAATCGTGAGCACTGGTCAACAGCATCTCGTCAAATCTCTTTTTGGCACTATTTCTGTTTTTGAGTGTCCATGGACCTGGTGCAAAACCTTCTTATAAAATAATAAAAACCGTCCATGGACCTGGTCCATGACGGGGGGTCCATGGACCCGGTCCATGAAAGTGGTCCATGGACCCGGTCCAAAGAGGGGGTCCATGGACCCCTGGTCCATGTTTTGTCCTCACCCCATTTATCTCGAAACTTTGTGACCGGGTATTCTGAGGTTGTTCCCCCCTCACTGAATCAAGAAACCCCTTCATAATTTAAAAACTCGAATTTAAGAGTGACGTGAAAAACCTTTAGCGAGGAAATCCTGTTTAATTCGAGTAGAATTGAATCGCGTCCTCATCCCCAAGCAAGCTCGACTTAATGCCATTAAGAGAGTTCTTGTCATTCAGCAAACTACGGCATCATGCAAAGTTCGTTGAGCAACAAATGTTGCACGCTGTTGAACCGTTTGTCACCAGCTTTCCACAAATCTTGAAATAGCAACTCGAAAAATCTTACCAAGATGTCAGCATTTCGAGAGAATCGTGCCTTGCGCTCCACCCATTTATTTGCACTTTCCCTGTAAGTCACATACAGTGTACATGAATAATAATAATTGATCATTCCTTAACAAAACTTGTCAATCAATTTCATGAACAATCATCTACCTGGGCAGTTTTCCCACTGCCGCCGTGTTTTCATTCAATTGAATAAACTATCAAAAATGTTTGTGTTTAACACAGACAGTGTTTTGGCTATTTCACTCAGCCTGCAAAGAACACATTTTTTTTAATAATAACATTTTAATCAATGTTTGTAGCCTTTATCACAATGAAAGCTAAAGTAAAAGCACACAAGCACGAAACACGACCTAACCCCAGAGCGAAACTGCTTATGAAGTAAGTTGAACAGGACTTAGGTGAAATGACCGTAAACCCTTTAAAAAATGAAGTAGAGGCAAAAGAATAAATATGTTCTTTTAAAATTCCACTTTTCCCTGACTTCTTTCAAAGATTTAACTTTCCTCTGACTAATGTATCGGTCAAATCAAAGCTTCAACGTCCCCCCCACCCCAAGGCACACCCTAGGTATTTGACACCTTTGCCGTCCCGCGGAGGAGAAAATTTGATTATCAGAGTCTTCCAGGGGGTGGGGAATTTGATCCCCATGCGTTAGGGGTGGGGAGTTTGAACTGCACCCTAGATTTCATGTGAAATCTCTGGTGTGGCGAACTATCATGGGGACGCCGTGTTAGAGGATTTTCGTGGAAAAGATTGTGCCTTTGTGGCCAATTGGTTAGGAGTAAAGGACTTAAACAAGTTGAAGGTATTTCAATTTTTATATTTTTAATATTGGATTCAGGCTTTGAATATATGAATGTATTAAGTTGTGTTTACAATGAAATACAATACCTATTACCAGCGATTCAATACAACAATAAAAAGCTCAACAGAGGTCAACTACTTTGACCTGCCGCATGTATAAGGTGAGCAATGATGCATGTCAGTGAAATGGTCATGATAGGTGGGATTTTTTTATAGAACATTTTGCATGTTGCAAGACACACGAAGAAAAGCTGAGCATTCAGTGACCTCATAGCAGCAATTTCCGCCACTTTACGCAAGAATTTTGTTGGTAGTAAATACGCTAACAGTGTTTCTCAGTTTTCATTATATTGAATGTGAATTATTTGCTGTATTTATAAAGATTTTGTTCGACAACTGAAGGCGTTTCTGCCGTCCTTCTACCATATATGTGCCTATGAAATGTCCCAGGGATGGTGGCATTTGATCACCTGAATGGACCCTAGTGTGGGGCATTTGAATGGCATTTTGGCCCGAGTATTTGAACAATAATTTTCAAAAAAGTCAAATGCCCGGGGAGTTGCCCGGGGGGGGGGGGGGGGGGGGGG